GGACCGCAACTGAAGAAGAGGACGTCGAATCTCGCGAAGGGTCTGAGAGGAGGCGCACGTGGAAGCAGCGGAAGAAGACGTCAAGCCAAACTGCGTGAGGAGAACGGGGAGCGCGAGCAGAAAGGCAGGCAGGAAGAAGACAACGAGAAGAAAGGAAAACAACTCGAAGACAAACAGACCATCCCTGAACGGGCGAAGAGAAAGAGTACCAACAAGCACGCGGTTCGCGACAGGCAGGAAAGCGAGACTGGGAGGAAGGAGAATCCATCCCTTACAGGCGAAGACACGCGGTTGATGGGGAAGACAGACAACCACGCGCAACGCGACAACAGCCATCATGAGCAACACGCACGTGGTTGGAAACCTTGAAGGAGAAAGGTGCAAAGGAGAAAATCGCGGCATACGTGAGGTCAAATTTAACGGCATAGTCCCCTCAATGGGTGCACCCAAGAGTCTCCTAACTGGGGTGTACACACTTAAACTCCCAAGTGCAAGAAGGCTGAAGTTCGAGCGGGGTTGATGCGAGTGGGTTTGATTCGTGTCAGCAGCTTCGAGTCAGCAACATCATCTGGGCGGTTCGATTGGCGAAACGGGCGCAGACACGAAGCTTCACTCCAGCTACTTGAAAAGGGAGAAAGGAGAAGCAACAGCACGTCAAGGGGGGGGGGGACCAAATAGACTCTGTTTCACAGGCAGGTACGTCAATCCAGCGTCCTGGATTGACTTCACGTTCCAATGGTGCGGTTGCACGCCAAAGGAACCATCGCCCCCCTGCATGAAATGGTTCCTGGGTTGATCAGGAACTCCGCGTGCACACAGAGAGACGCTTAAAACTGGGCCGCAGTCTTGCATTTTTTGCCACATACGTTGATATTACACTAAATGCTTGATGTACGCGATATTTACAAATGGTCAGGCCATAGTGTTGGGCAGTGTTGGGTGTCAGAAATGCATTTAGACGAATAGACCCACTCCACTGCCACCATTTGGGGATAAGTTCAATGCCGGCGAGCAGCAGCTAGCTTTGACAAGCTTGCAGCTGCACTTGCGCCCGGAAAAAGGCGCTCGAAAACTACCTGAGCCAGGCGTGGCTGCCACGTGGCCCAGTCCTTCTGCTTCCCCTTGTTTCCGCAGTGACCAGAAGGGAACCTCAAAATTAGCCACTGCCCAGTGTTGATGCCAAATGGCTGATGTGTCACGAGTGCTATGGTCCAAACTCTGCCAGCCATCCCAAGTTCCCCCGTGCCCCTCCAAAGGCAACCGGCGGGCATTCCACAGGAAGAACTGGAAGCCGCCCTGGAAGAGGCCACCGAAGGACAGGAACCTCAAGGCAAAACTTTCAGGAACTTATCGTTTCAGGGGTGAGTCCCGAAATTGAAAGCTGGAGGCTCAACCAAAACCCGGATGAAAACTGTGTAGCCAGAAAGAACCAGGTGGAGAATTGAACAGGCGGCCAAACCCATTTATGGTTGGGACTTCCCTTGCTAACCTAAATCTGACCAGGTTTTGATTGTGACTCAACCTGGAGGCTCAATCTTCAAACTCTTGTCTTGCTCCCTGGTGGTTCCGCAAAAGTGTGGCACGCAGAATGCTAAGATCGCGGCAGTAGCGACCTCTTCTGGTCGACCTCCTTCTTGTTTATGCAGACCTGCAGCAATGCTGTGTGGGTCCCAAACCACACGTCACTCGCTGCCTAACTCTCCACCCGCCAGGCAAGGAAAAATTAGATAGGATTCACAAGCCCCTAGGTGATAATTCAGGGCTTCAACCTGTGAGTAGATCCAGATCGCTTTTGGCAGAAGCACCCCCTTTGATAGCCTTGTACTTGGATCCGGGAACTTGCCTGCACGATGAGATCTGCTATGAAAGCCTTCCCAGCGCAAGTCAGCCTTAGTGAGCAGAAGAGCGCTCGGAGATCAACTGAACCGCACACGACTTTATTGGATAAAGAACATCTTAGCAACGCTGCGCTTGGTGCCCAAAAACGTTTCGGGTGGAAGTCTAACTCGACATTGATGCGCTCCCCAACTCTTGTATCACATCAGTGCATTCAAGGGAGCTCTCTCAGTAGGCTTTACCCGCAACTTGCTGCGGGTGCAAACATGTCACTTCCTTTGCCAACAAGAGCATCGCCGACATGTTCTCTGGGTCGAGCCTAGGCCCGCAGCATAGCTACTAGAACAGGCCGTTGTGCGATCATGTCGCTGAGGCGCTGGGCAATGCTTACCTGGCTGGTGCCATGCAAATCTCCAGAGGGCATCCCGGCTGGTTGCTTGCGCCAGCCTATGTGGCCCTCCCCAGGCAGTCAATGCCGACCCAAACACCTGCGATCACAACCTGGTGACTTTGTGTGGAGTGCCCAGCATGTGTCAAAGTTCCCCGCTTGGCAAATCCTGCGCCAAGCATGACATTTCCGAAACATGCCGTCACGCCGCTGTTTTGGTTTCACTTGCTAACAGGGTCGGATAAAATTCAGGGTTCGCCCCAAACCGCTCTCTATCCTTGGACCCAGCCCCTTGGGAGCCTCCGGCACTGCTTTCCACATCGGAAGCTCAGCCTGGCAAGGGCCAGATTTGGGACGCAACTTCAGATCCAACTCAGTGCCGCATCCATTTTGGCGGAACTCACCTCCCCAAGCTTTGCATGCGACCATGCTCACCAAAGCCTGCTTTTCGCAGTGCAGCTTGGATTGGAAGAAATGGCACTCAAAATGCTCAAGGCCGCAGCTTCAAGACTCTTCCAGAGGCAACGCGCATCTTCAACATTACTTGCAAGATAAAGCCGTTTTCTGCCATCTCGTGGCAGGTGTTCTCTTCCCTATGTCCATGTTGTTTCCCTTCAGCTTAAGTGGTCCAGAGTGGTTTAGACCAGGCCAGAATTAGAACCCCAGCAAGACATCACTTTTGTTTTGCCTGCTTTGTGGAAAACAAAGGACCCCAAAAAAGCAAAAATGCAATTATGGGGAGCTAATTCTGGGGAAGTAGACAAGTCAAAAAAATATCCTTTCCCTTGAGCTTGCCCGAGCGCCCCAAAGCCAGAACTTCTGGCCGTGAGGGTCGTGAACTCGCGCTTCAGACATCGCTGGCCTGGCCCCAGATCAGCCCGAGGCTCAGCTTGGCTAAGCTGGTCCAATCTGTGAATCTGCTCTTACTCCCTAGATGGTTTCCACTGGCCCAAACCACTACTTGCAGGGCTCAATTTACAACCGCTACATGGCCACTATATACAACTACCCCCACGGTTTAATGGGAAATACAAACCACCACTATATGAAGGGCAACCCGGATTTCCCTGAGGGTGGAAGCCATAGACTGAAAGGGTCGAACTCCGGATGGCGTCCGCCGTGCCTCCGGGCAACCGAGCCACCTGTGGCCTGGAATTCGACCCACCGACTCGGGCTTCGCTGAAAAGGAAACTCGCGAGATTTCGCCTTTGTGTAGGCGAACTAGTAGAAAACCGACTGGGACTTTGCAGCAGACATACCAAGCCAATGTTGAAGAATGCTGCAGTCAGTCGCCCAGCGCCAAAAACCAAGCTGTTCTAAGGCCGCGTCCAGCGGGCTAGAACACCCGCAACTTGTACCTGGCAAGCGAGGGCTGTAAACTCAGCAGAAAGCCCAAGGTCATGGAGTGACGGTAATGGAAAGCATAGGGTGGGTGTTGCAGGTGTTTCTTTTTGTTTTCTTTGTTCAGCATGATGGGATGGTGGAATCTGTGACCACCGTGTGCTGCTGGGCAGCTCTGCAGTCTGTGCTTGGGTCTCTGAGAGATCGTCTGAAAGTCGGATGGATCCAGCAATAAACCAAGCTGATTCACGTGAAGTCCAATGTGATTCAGAGAAATAGCTTTGGCGGCAATGTCTACACCTACATGAAACCGCCAGTAATGCCTTTCCGTTTTCTACAATGGTGCTGAGGGCCGGACGCGCGTGGGCATGACCTGTCTGAAACTCACTTCTGGTGTTGTGGCCACTTCCCAAATTGCCCTGTTTCTTAGCCAAGCTATTCCGCCGATATGCTAGCCGCCACATTGAGCTAACGGCAAGAATCCAACATGCGCCAAACAAAAAACGCACAGTGCAAGGTGTCAGTAAGGGATGCCATGTCTCACTTCATCCGCATGCTTTTGGCTGGCAAAAGTGCGTCCTAAAACTGACTCGCCTGGTTTACGTGAATTTACGTGCCATGTGACATAGCTCACGGCCTTCGCCAAAGACATGGTCGGCAATTAGAGCGTCGAGCTGGAGATGAGCCACGCAGCCCGTATCACGTTTTGGCTGTATCGATGGGATGCACTGTGTCGCTCCCCGTGGAGCTGGTTCCTGGAACAATGTGCTGGACATGGCAGCCGTTTAAAAGATGCGGAATGCAACTCCATCTCTAAGAGGTCTGGGCATCAAGTGCGACTGCCGCGTTGGATCTGTGCAACTTGATCAGAGCCAATTTGAACCGTGCGAGCGCCAAGTGTTTGTTTGTATTGCTGAATCCAATCATTCACCCAATCTGAGATCTTGAGACTATACTCTCCACACACCCAGGCAGTCCACGCAGCAACTTAGTTCTCGCTTGACCAGCTCCCCTCAGAGACTGTTTCCGGAGCCATTGCAGCACCTTTTCGACCATCTCTCGCCACTTTGAGGAGCATCCGTGCAGCAATTTGTGCCATGATCTCTGGTTGCTTAGTGCAAGTGACGTGAAATGAACATGCTGCTTTGTTGTTCGTTGCCTCTCAGACTCTAAGGTGTGACGTCGCCGATGGTGCCTCGGCATTGCGCAGTCGTCGGTTTGCTAGCCGTCTCAGAGCTTGTTTCAAACCGCACGCCTGGGATCCCTTCGAGGGGGTGTAAAATCAACGAAGATTAGCCAAAAAAGCCTCCCAGGCGAAAAGAAAAAGTCCAACAAACAAAATTTGCAAGGCTCAGAGCTACTATGTTGACATCCATCTTCTAAGTAGCACGGAGCATAAGCCTCTTTTGCTCGCGCAAAATCAACTGGGTCTGAAGCGATTCTGAGAGTCAAAACTGGAAAATAAAAGCTCCCAGTGTCTTCGTCGCCAGCTCTGCAAATCATACGGGCTTGCCGAAGCATCCCACCGAGGCCGAGGCCAAGAATGTCGTGAGCAATATGGAACAAATAAATAAGACTCTCCAAATTAGGGGGTAATTTGGAAAGGCCAGTCGGAAGACCAGACTGGGAAAGGGGATCATCATCAGCGACACCAATGAGCCTCCGATGATGGTAATGACTTGTACCACATTGTCAAAGAAGATGGAAGTAAACATTGGGATCATCACAAGCAAGCATCCCAATGTTTTGTGCTGGCAGTAGGGTTGCAAGAAAGTCAGGCGCCGTCGCTTCCACAAGAAGCGCTCCAGGAGATTCTGTACCGACTCTCTGATAGGATACACGTTGAGGGGGATGGCGATGGCCAGCGAGATGGCGAGCAAGACCCTGGCCACGTCGAACGCCAGGCTGCTCAGCGAGTACATGGACAAGATCGTCGGGACCCGCAGGAGCTGCGGGCCCCAGGAGGCATAGCCTGCCAGAGCCAGCAAAAAGTACAGGAGCCCCAGCGTGAAGGCCGAGCCGTACGCCAGTGCGCACAAGCGAGGGGGAGTCGGGTGTCGAAGCTCTCGAACCACAGCTACGCAGTTGGTGTGCCAAAAGAAGGCGAACACCTTGGCCAGGAGCAAAAACCCCATGAACCCTTGTAAAATCCAGGGAAGGGTAACCAAATGTTAGAAACTTTTTCACATGCCAGTGCCCAATCCCTTCTGGCCCATGATGAGAGAACAACCATCAGCACGATGCCTCAAACCCGGCCCACAACTTGCGTGGGCAGCCCACTGGCAGGTCTCTTGCTTCCAGGAGAAGTCCGGTTCATCACAATTTTACCCTCTGATGCGCAAAGCTAAAACAAGAAGTCTCAGTCTCAGGCCGATATACATATCCTGAGATGGCGCAGGGTGCGACACGGCACGCACCACTTGAAACTGAGGGGAAGTGAAAAGGGCACATGTCATCAAACCATTGGTTTCTATGGCTTCAATTTTTGAACATAGGTGCTTGTTCTAGGGGAAATAGATGGCCCCGGTAGATCATTAAGCCACCAGGTAAACCAGGAATCGCCATCTATTTTTCTACCAAAACAACCAACAAGGACACCTATGCCTGTGAACACCAACCGAACGGGCGGGTTAGACTCCCAAAGCTGCATGCTTGGAGCTCAGCTTCGCTGCGGGCGCTTTCTCCAGGTCGTGCACCGCCGCGATGTCCACGTCTCTGCCCGCGCCATTCCACACGTAGTCGCCAGCGATGGCGCACCTCGTTGCACTTGGCCAGCTCAAGAGAAACATGAATTCGTCATTTTTGGGGGGACCCGTTCTTCATTGATTTTAAAGGGAAGCCAAAAAAAGCAGAAAGTAGAAGTTCCCCTGTTTTGAGACAGATCCACACGAATGGGGGGTGTCTTTGCCGCGTTTGGCCATCAAATGACGACATCCAAGTTCTCAATTGGACGAAATATCCTCCGTCTGTGACTACAAAGGGCGAGCGGTGCTGCTTGCAACCTTGGAGCATCAGGAAAACCAGCACAAAGGGGCTGATGTTGGCAAGCCTGCAACGCATTGGCGCAATGAGCAGCGAGGTTCAGAAACTGTGGGAACCGCGCGAAGTGTTTGCAAGTAGACTCCATGAACCCAACTGACAAATCCCGAAGCCCTCCAGTGTCCCGCCTGGACAAGCTAGTCACTGTGGGGCTTGTGCTCAAATAGCACCCCAGGCTGCCAGTTCCCAAAATGATGCAAATCCGATGATTCAGAAACGGCCTCAAGGCGCGTGATGTTGCCATTGGGGCGTTGGTTGGGGGGTGCTCTGGATGGTGTGCAGGGAACGGCGACACTGGACATGCAAGCACTGCGTTAGATCTTACAGGATATGGGTAGGCAAGGCTATTGAGCTCACTTCGGGCTCAATGCCAACCAACTATTTTGGTCCTTGCTTCAAAAAACATTACTTCGCTTCGATCAATCCCCACCCTCCGCACTCACGAGCTTACGACCATTACAACAAATTCATCAGCATCCTAGAGACTTCGACTCCAAATTCCCATCGGCCCTTTTGGACATTAAGCAAAACCACGAGCTGCTCTGCCGGAATACTGGCAAGATCCACTAGCGAATACTGGCCGGATACTATCCACTGGCGAGCTACTCTGGGATACTCAGCGAGATGCTCGGCGAGATCCACTGAACTGGTGGGATACTCGGCGGGACCCCCTGGCGAGCTACTCTGGCGGTACTCGGCGGGATCCATTGGCCTCTGGTGGGAGATTCTTCGCTGGGATACTCGGCGGGCTACTCGGGATTTGTGGTTGGACACTCGGCGGGATCCACTGGCGAGCCGCTCTGGCGGGCTACTCGGCGGCATCCACTGGCGAGCAGCTGTGGCGGCCAGCTGCTCTGGCGGGATACTCGGCGGGATCCACTGGCGAGCCGCTCTGGCGGGATGCTCGGCGGGATCCGCTGGCGAGCCGCTCTGGCAGGATACTCGGCGGGATCCACTGGCGAGCAGCTCTGGCGGGATACTCGGCGGGATCCACTGGCGAGCTGCCCTGGCGGTGTAGAAGCAAACGCGGATTCCAACATAAACTTCAACAACCCGTTCCTGTCGGGTGGGGAAAAGAAGCAAAGGATAATTAGTCGTATTGGTCAGCCTGAAATGGTTGAACATATGGAACCTCCCACTTGCATTAAAACGCATTTGGCAGTGTCATGCTCGGCAAGCTGCTCCAACGACTGGGCCACAAAGAGATGGTAGACCACCAGCGCCAGCTGGTTGTGGCAAAGCAGCACCACGTCCATCAGGGTGGCGATGGTTTCAGGGCACTCCGGGGAAGCTGCCTCCAGCAGGTCCGCATAAGAAGGCCCAATCCGCTTGGGCTCCGGCTCGGCCTCGAGTCTATGACTGTGGGCGTCAGAGACTGCACATCTTGAAATGGGTGTGGTTGTCAAAAATAGGGTAACCCCAAAATGGAACCCTGGTACATGGAAGCAAGGACTCAAACCTGAGGTGCCCTGGTGTAATTTTGACCCATTTCGAAATGAACTCAACTTGCAAAGCAAGCCCTGGTCCTCCGAACAGACGAGCTAAGGCCATTGGATACAGCTTGGCCAACACATCTGCCATCCGTTTGCCCTCGCTGGCCGGAGTCAAGCGGCGACAAATGTTGGCTTCCAAATTCGGAGACCACATGGCATGTGGGAGATCTTGAGTAGCATACGCACTTTGAGGTCACAATGGTTGCGGAAGAACTCTGTCCCTGCAACATGGGCAATCTTATTTCAGCTGACAAGCTGAAGCAGCAGGTGATTTCAGTAGCTCTGCTACCAAGTGGATGTGCTGGTCCTACAGCCCATCAAGCCAAGCAGCCATGTCTCGCCAAGAGCTGCTCCGGTGAATATGCGGAGAGGAGGAAGGAGAGACAGGCTCATTCGCAACATCCAGCCAGGAGGTATGAGCCATGTGACGCTCTGGGTGCAGAGGCTTCCTTAAGTCTTCCTCCATCCAGCGCCGGCGTACCTCCGGGCAAAGTATGTCCCTCACAGCCAAGGTTCCTTCATCTGCGCTCCTTGACTCGCAGATGCATCGAATGGAACTGAGGCATTGCCGTCAATGCACTACCTTGCATGGGGAATTTTGCTCGTGGGGGGAACGCTGGTATCTCATTGGCTCTCATTTGAATCAAGTCTCAACATTTGAGCATCCCCTCCCCCCGACAAATGCCTCTAAGACCCCCAAGGCCAAGATGTAGGTGGTAGTGCCCGAGATCACAAAGGCAATGATCAAGCATCCCAGCATCACTTCCCAGCCAACTGCTGCCATAGCTCTGGGCAGCCTTGGCTGCAAACAATGACAGCCCAATGGGAGGGCGCCTTTAATGAAGAACTGTCTTTCATGCAATTTTGGTCGAGAAGAGAAGACCTGCTGTTTTGCTTCCTGAGCGCTGAGGAATATGCCAAAGTTATGAAGCTCCCTTTTGTGAAAGCTGCAGCTCAGCAACACCAGGACCCCGCTTCCGATGCCAGACGCCAGCAACAGCATCATACACTCGAAGGGGCTTCGATCGGTGACGCCATGGCCAGAGTCGATCGGCGCCATGGGCTGCAAGTGCCAAGTGAGATTTTATAAGCGAGCTGCCCACTGGATCTCCAGCCTGGGAACAGACTATGCCAATTGCCAATTCTGACTCGAAGCTTTGCATTGTGTACTCAAGAAGTGTGGGTTGTGGGTGTGTTCCTTGTGTGTGTGTGTGTGCACAAGTCATGAATGGCTTGATGGCTCGATGCCACTATAAAGCAAATCAAGCCTGGTTTGCCTACCTGTGCCTTCTGGCTCATCCAATGCGGTTCCCTGGTATGCATCAAACAGGAGGAGCTTCCTCTCATGCCACTACCGCTTGCTAATGCCTTGAGTAGCAGAGCTGGCGCAGAGTCTATCGGTACAAACGTTGCAGCTGCCAATCACAAGCAAATGTGAGCAACGCACATGTTTGCTTGTTGTCCGAAAAGGGCATGGGAAACATGCGCTGCCAATTGCTTGAAACTGGTCAGCAAACCTGTACCGCTAAAGTACACCAGTTGGGCGGCGCATCTGGATTTGTGTGGGGAAATTGGACTAGCCCATGTCCACCTGTCTGAGAGCCCCACTCTTGCCGCCCTCCTCGCCCTTCTCCGCTGTCTTCTTGATGCCGATGGCCAGCTTCAGCGGCACCTCAACGGCTCCAGACCGAGTCATGAGCCGCATGCACACACTGCGCCCAGCTGCAAAAAATATCTGCGGGTTCACAAGTTGAAATGATAAATGGAATTCAAGAAGTGTTCCAAGGCAGGCCGATGCGTCCTCCCACAAACAATCGAAGGCACTACAACATTTCAGCTTTGCCCCTTGAGTCACTCTCTGACACGCCTGTCGAACGCCCACCGCCAATTTGGTGGTGACTTGCTTGATGCCGCCTTCAGATGCAACGCTGCGGCAGCACAAAAATCTGACGCGTCAAATCTCTCAGTCAAGGCAAGCTGTTGGTGGTAGGCTTGGTTGTTGGTTTTCTGGGAGAAACTCCAACATGCCAAGGTTGGCCCCACATGCCAAGGTGGCCTGCGATCTGGCCGATCAGCTCGGTTTTTGTGGGGAAGTCCTGTCGGCCGGTTGCATGCAAGGAGTACCCGACATCACCCGACATGAAGCCCTGGAGGGTCCCTATTTGATTTAGTGTTGGGTACACGCAATAATTAGGGAAACAGACGTGTAAGCTTGAATTGGTCTCTTTGGCCATGCCACGAGCAATCAAAACAACTTTAAAGTGACGATTGGTTGCAATTGACCTGTACAAACAGATTCCCCCTTGGACAGAAAGCCAGCCCATCCTCAAGCAAGAGTCACAAGAGCTGGTTTCAAGGGATGTACCGCTCATCACCCACTTTCTTGGTTCTCTTTGTCAAGCATTCAAGTTCCTCTGCAGATTTGCCAGAAAATGTTGCCCAATGTCCTTCAGCTTCATCACATCCGGCGGAGCAAGATAATTCCTGGCGTGGGTGAGTTCGTCATTGGGCACTGCTTCGTACAGTATATAGAGACCATCCCGTATGAACTTGACTTGCTCCAGCAAGGCTAAGTGCTCAAGCCACGATCATGCCTATATTTGGCATGCCTCAAGACAGAACATCAATCATTCGACAGTCATTCGTCACCCGCGAGCCATCCTTTGTTGCTTTGTGGGATACCGTCTCATGAGCCAGTCAAAGGATAATGCTGTTACTCGTAGTCAACGTGGAAAAAAGGGTGTCCCTCTCTACCATAGGTGGCCTTTTGGAAAAATAGATGGCCCTGGTAAACGGAATGAACACCATCTAAACCAGTGCCATCTATTTTTAGCCAAGCTAACCTAAAAAGGACACCTATGCTCTCTACCCGTATTGGCCATGGACTCACACAACCTCATGTCAGTCGAAAAGCGACACTGAAAGCATGCCATGCACACCATTCGTCCGCCATGATGGCTCCCACCAGGGGCTTCAAATCATAGGTCAGCTCCTGACGCAAGGTGCCCACATCAACTCAGCTACCCAAAGGACCCAGAAAAAAAAGGGTAACCTTTGGAACCTTGATTAAAAACAGGGAAACCAAAAGGTCAAAAGGTCGGCTTTGGGCGACTCCTCCCTTGCACACAGAACTTGTGTTCTCAGGTTTCTGGAACTACGCCGGATCTCCTTACAATGCATTCGACAAAGATAGCAGGGCAATCAGGAAGCTGAGCGTGACGTCAAGAGCAAACACTTTGTGCATGTCTCAAAAGATGCGATGTTCCATTCAAGGCGAAGAAGCTCTTGCATTCTTTGGCGCTCAAAAACCTTCTTTGAGGCCGCGCAGAGTCGGGATGCCCCAAGACCATTGACTTAGGGCGTAGAAACCTGAGACGTCGAATCCCACTTCCAAAATCGTTAACGTCGTTTGGCTGTGGCTCAAAAGCATATACCAAACTGGCCCTCTTGGCAAACGGAAACAAGGACTAAAACCTGCGTAACCCTAGCTCTTCGATTTTGAGCCACACCGATTGTCAAAAATGCACAGCCGCAGGAGTCGTTCGGCAGTACAAGCGCTGTGCGTTTCATCACCGACCACTGCATCCGTGCTAGGCAGGTTTTCCGATCTGTCAGAGGCCCAAGGCTCGTGCCTGCCCCATCTCCTCTTTGACGCCATCGAGGACTTCCTCAGCTCTCAAGCTGCAATGCCAAAAAAGTCAGTCTTCCTGCATATCTCGGTTGCGAAATCTGCCCCCCTGCTAAATGTTTTACTTTTAGTGGTTTAATGGAAAACCCATTAGTTGGCAAAAAAGTTAAAGTCCTAACATCCAGGCAAAATGCAGGTTCAAGCTGAGTCCTTCCTACTCTTTCTACACCACGTGACGCTTGAGGAACTGGAAAGGCTGTGCAAAGAAATCCGCAGCTTTGCTGGCTTGCTCGAGCTCGAAAGCAAGTATTGACAAGTTGCAGTTCGCTTGAACTTCTTCTCCAACTTCAGGTATGCCTCGGCCAAAGAGGTGGGTTGCTTCCGCAGCTGACTTGCAACGACGCAAGCACTTGCAGGCCAATCCGAATCCGCATAGCTAATGTGCCCTCAACACCCAGACTCATTCCTTCCAACATGCTTCCAAACAGGACGGCCTGGATAGAAGGCTTCAGGTCTGTGTCAGACTCCACGAAGACGTACCTAGGAACGGTGCGTAAGAACTCCTGCCATTGCCAGGCCGAAGAAGCCCAGTGAGGATTGCCGCGCCGTGGTCTTGGCCCCCAGACATGTTGGATCCGACCAAGTACTGGCTGATTGGCTCCCAATCCGTGCCCTCCATAGCCTTCCTGGCAGATCGCCGGCTCGCTCTCACGTGAGAGGGAACCAGAAAACATCACCAGACTCAAGCCTCATGCCTCCGGGCAAATTGCGCAAGAAGCAAAGCAAAAGAAGGTTGCCCGGGCCTCACCAAGGTGTTCTTGAGGCAGCGCGCATTCACTGTTGTGGGGAACATCGCTCTTGCCTCCTGGCGGAAATTCAAAATCCTGGAAATCGATCTGCGGAGGGGATTCATGGCCTCAACCCTAGACCTGATTTGGGGCTTGGACCATTTTCCCCGCTTCCCTCCACACAAGACACAACGGTCTACCAGAATTCCACTGCGTTTCCTTTTTTAATCAAAAAGGTTACCTTTGACAAGTCTGAGTGCAAGGCCAAGCACACAGAGACAAAACTTTCTTGCATGACTCAACTTTCTGCTAGACTGGATTGATTGCCCCTTTGGCTTTGCCAAAAGTCGGCCGGAACTCCTCGAGCTCCGACCCCAGCATGTGGTCTCTGTTGAAAGCCATGACCTTATCGAGCACGCGTGCAAGGCTTCCTGTGCGACTGAGCTCCGGTGGCCTAATTCTTTACCAGGCTCGGGTCTCCGGAAAGCAGACTGTTCAACTCGAGAAAGCCTTAAAGCATGCATTGAACAAGTATCGGCAAGCGGAGTATCGGCAAGCGGAGCCTCAAACAACTTGGATATTGATGGAATTTGGCGCACATGTCAGCAACTGCCACAGGTGTTTCAAGTCTGTGTTGCACCCAGACCTCAGACCCCAGACCCCCACTGTCTCAGGCAGGCGCAAAGAAAGTCTTCTCCAGCTGCTGTTTGATTCCCTGCGGAGAAAATCAGCATTTGCTCACAGCAACAGATCCCAAACAGCAGCTCTCAAGCATGCCAAACAAATCCACAAACAAACTCATTCGCCAAAAACTGGGCCCCCATGGTCCCGAAAGCGTGTACGGAAAAGGTGATGAAAGCATGGTGAAAGGTGGCAGCCGTCTTCTTGCTTTTCGGCTCGCTGGCTTCTGTAAAAACTCTTGTAAGAGATGACGGGCGCTGTCAAAGTATAAAAATGGTTCAGCTTTTGAGCCGAACCTGCGGGAGAGTACTTTGCGTACCACTTTCGTGCTCAAAAGTTGCCATGTTCGAGCCGGGGCTGCGGGAGAGTACTACTACTTTCATACTGAAAAGTTGCGACAGTGATTCGCATAGTAATTTCGCACGTAACGTCTCCACACTTAAAAACTCCAACTTTCGATTCAGACCTGCGCACGTGCACTTCGCGTACTACTTGCGTACTTCAAACTTCAAACTTGCCTTGCGATTTCCAGCTTACCGCGACCAGGGGGGATCGAACCACGAGAGTTCGTCGGCCACTACAAAAATGGGCAAGGCACCATGGCGAGAGCCGTCCGACAGGCACTATTTCCGCGGAGGGTTGGTCCCCCAACAAGGAAATTCGCACGGCACCAGCGGGAGTGATCTGCCACGAAGCTGCGAGCTGGGCTGCTGGGCAATGCTGAGCTGTGAATGTTAGACTACGCAAGCAGAGCAAACTTTGTTGGGACAAATGTGAGAAATGTGTCATCAGAAGTCACCCGCTCACAAGTGCGCAACGCACTACAGTGCAAGCACTGGAAAAGAAACCATTGGATAGGAAATTGAGGGGATGATATTTGCCAACCATGGGCAGGTTGCAACTCTTGCTGGCAAGAAATTGAAGCCTGCTGGGTTTGCCCGACCATGTCTTAACAAACTTGTCGGATAAAGCCAAGCACATGGATGCAACAGAAGAGGCCGCTAAGCCA